AAAGTTATTTGGCAGGATAATTGATAAAAAAATTAATAAATTAATCTAAAATGCAAAACATATTATTATAATAGATAATGATTTAACTGATCTCAATATTGAATGGATTAGAGCCCTTCATAAGGATAGAGTATTTTCAATTATTCATAATACTTATTAACCACAGAAAGATAAGACATTCTGCTTAATTCCTAATAAAGAAACTGTATTAGCCAAACTCTGGAATTAGACTAAGCAAATATCTTTACTACCTTTTGAGAATCAGAAAGTGCTTTGCTTATCTGCCATCTTAGAAAGAATATGCAAGAGATTATTCGTATTCTTAAAAATGATTTTCCAGAACTACAGATTAAGAAATATTATGATAAATCTGATCCAGTAGAAAAGGCCTACAATTTCAATAATGTTGAAGAAGCATAAAAAGCTGTAAACTTAGTTGCTTATACTAGCACTCTAAAAATAGAAGTATCTTGCACTAATCCTAATTTTGAATGAGCATTTTGTTTCTTTAATAGCTATATAGAAACAAATGTTAAAATGAATTAGATGTTATTTTGCATATAATACATTAAAGATTATATATGTTATATTGAGCAAAGATCATCTAATGTTTTCATTACAGAAGAAGGACTATTTTAATAATTATTAAATGCTAAATGTGAATGTCTTCCCTAAAAACTTCAGAATAGAGGAATATTTTTAAATATTGACTCTATTATTCAGAATAAGAAAGTACTAACAATTTGTTTATGGGTAGTATATATGTTAGAAAAATTTTGATTTCATCATTTATTTGGCTGGAGAATAGTTGATTTTCTCTGAAATGCAAGTATAATAATTTCTGTTATAGAACTTATTCCTAAACCTGAAGATAATATGATGTTATTATCCTAATAGTAAAGGCGAGTTCTTTTATAATTAAAGCTAAGAAGATAGTAGATGTATCTAATGCTACTATTGTTGATTGTGAGACTACTGGATTATTAGAGAATAAACCAAAGAAGACTTTAAAAGAAATGCGTTTTTTAAACTGTCATTATATTGTGAATTGTTATAAGATTTTGCCTGAATCATTGACTAAGAATTTTATTTCAAAGTATGGGAATTACAATCACATGAAATGGTTTAGGGCTTATAAGCAATTATAAGATGCTAATACTAATAATGAAATAGCTGTTAAGGTTATATTCTGTAAAAATTACAGAAAAGATAGATTCACAACTGCAACCTGGACTGAGAGGCATTAAATTTGTCTAGAATTATTAAGAATTTGTATATCAGCTAGAGATATTAATAATAGAGCATAATATAAAGCTAATAAAATCAAAATGTACATGGATTCTCCTGAATCAATATCATATTTTCAGAGTTTAGTGTCTAAAATAGCTCAAGTATTTAATAATACAGATGTATCACATAGTGCTAAAAAATTAGAATTAAAAATAATCAGAACGAAATTTGATTTATTAAATGAATACCTTTATGCAACTTATTGATTGAAATTTAAGATTATTAATAAAAATCAAAAATATTATCATTTAGTTAGTTTATTTGATAATAAGGATACCCTCAAGTTTTCTTCATATCAAACAGGGAAGAAATTTATTGGGAAAATGGTAAAGATACTCAATATGAATATAGTAAGATCTCACCCTATGAATTATTATTAGGTAATCTTTCTAGTTCTAATAAAGTTGATAATATACAAATAGAGTTCTGAACGAGTCAAGTTAATTTATGAGTCAGATAAGCTGAGTTGAGTTTAAATCAAGTTGAGTTTATGTTTTTTTAACTTGATGATTTGTGAGTCAAGCTAAATTCAAGTCAAATTAAATATTTAACTCAACTTGATTTAAACTCGACTTGATTTGAGTTGATTCAAATTGACTTGAGTTGACTTGAATGATGATGAATCATTCAACTTGAACATTTTTTTTATCATTCAAGAAGAATAATGACAAATCATTCAACTTGAATGATTTTTTTTATCGTTCAAGAAGAACAATGATGATTCATTCAACTTGAACGATTTTTTTTATCGTTCAAGAAGAATGATGATGAATCATTCAACTTGAATGATGACTCAAATCATTTGACTTGAACTATAAAAAAAATCATTTAAGAAGAACGATAACGAATCGTTCGCTCTTTCTTCCTTTTCTCCCTGATTTTTTTATTTTTTTTTATTATTTTTTTTAAAATCGAATCGAGTTAAAATTGAGTTGAGTCAAATTGAGTTGAATTTAAAATTTATATAACTTAAATCAAATCAAATTGAAAGATTTTATAAAATAAATTTAACTTGACTTGACTCAAAAAAAGAGAGTCAAATAGAATTGATCTTTAAACTTAACTCAACTCGACTTATTTAGAACTCTATACACAAATATCTAATAGCACTACTGGGCTGAAATACAGTATCTTTAAAATAAAACAAATATCTCTTTACTATAAAAAGAATTTTCAATTGATTGAAGAATATTACAAAAAAATATTATTGAAGGGGTAAAAGATAATTTTGTAAAATCATAATCACATACAACTAAAGAAGTTTCTTGAAAAACTATAGTTTTTTGTTGCATACACCAGTAGAAGTATTAATACCTTCTTCAATAGGAACTTTATGTTTATCATCAGCACAGATAAATGAAACATACTTTCTGTACAAAATTGCAAATTCTCATAAATACTGAAAAAGAGTTGTATAATAATACAATTCTGAGTGATCTATATAAAGCTGCCTTACCTGAACCATAAATTTAATATTAAAACGTCTAGTATATTATTTGATACTCTCTAATATTGAATTTGCTAATCAAAACTGTAAATGAATCCATTTTTCACTTGGAATTAAAACAGTTTCAGTTGTAAAATTTTCATTTAAGCGTTAAATAATTATATTACGCAAATTACATATTGAAATGATAAGTGACATATAAAGAATATTTCTATACTGACAATCATTCACTACTGGTAAATTCTAAAAATAAAAATCAAATAAATATATTTTTTTATTAATTAAATAATTTATATTTCATTAAAATAAACATCCATTTCCTTTTAAAAAATATCAAATTTAATCCTCTTAAATTTATTATTTTAGCATAAATTACAAATAATTAATAGATCTTTCATTGCTAACATAATACGAAGTTATTCCTCTAACTCTTTACTTATATTATTTGATATTACAGCAGTATCACCAGTTAAGTCATAGTATAAAATACGTAAAATAGCAGGTATAATAGTTTTAACTAATGAATACTGTTATAATTATATTTTAAGAATTAATATACTATTAATCTATTATCTGTTATACTATTTTAAATATAATAAATATACTGTAATATACTTATACCTTTCTTAATGCATTTTTTACATTTGTTAACTAAAATATTGTGACAATTTTTCTTGAATATTTGCTATTACATGTGCCTGTGCAGTTTCTAATTGTTTTTTAGGATTAGGTGAAACTTTTCAAATATAATTAATAATACCAAGATAGTTGCCTTGATAATACTGATATAAAGTAACAGGAAATTGTATTTGAAGATTTACAATATAATAGTACCATTTTATCGCATCTTTAGGTAAAAAATTTTTCAAATCAATTTTAGTATAATTATCTATATTGAATAGATAATCTTGAAGTTGTTTATATTGTACATTAACTTTTTAATAGGAATCAATTGTATATACTTTTAAATCATTAGCTGGATGATATGCAGGTATATTACTTAAATGTATTTATTTTATAGCTTGGTTGATTTGTGTCAAATTTTCTACATATTTTTGTATTAAAGATATTAAAATAAAAATTTCTTCAATAATATTATATCATTGTTCATTAGTTACCTATAGTTGTCCTATAGATAATTTTAATGAAAAAGTTATTTGTATAATTTTATCATAGCTAAGATTATATTTGGCATATTTTTCAGTAAAATAGAAAAAATTATAGTATTGATTTTGTTGATATTGATTTAACTCATCAAATAATTTTTCAAGTGGAAATGATTGCTCTAAATTTTATGTGATGTGAATCTATGTATCACAATGCTACAGTTAAATGTTCAACAAAACTTTTTCCAAGAATATTATATATTCCATTTTTCTATCAAACTTCTTTACTTTATAATAATCTAATAATATCATTATAAAGTAAATTTCAGCAAGTATCTTCCTTTTTTTGCTCTGAAAAACAAATAAGTTGTAAACTTTTCATTAATAAATTAAATGCATTTAGTTCAGATTTTTGAATATTAACTTCTGTTGCTTCTAAAATAAATATAATATGAGTAAATTTTAGTTCAAATAACATCGTTATATTATCTTGCAATTCTTTTTCTATATAAACCTATTTTTCTGAAAGTTTTCTTAAAAATATTTAAACATCACAACTTTCAAATTGGTTACTTATTGCTGCATTAAAAATGTTGTGAAACTACAAATTATTTGTTGATAATATCTTTACAATTTTATCTGAAATGATTGTTTAGTTTCTTTAAGTACACATATAACAAAAAAACTCATTGTGTAATAGAATTTTCAATTGTGTGATAAAAAATATTTATAAATCTGTATTATATATGGCTTATGATAATCTTATTTTAATTAGAATAAAAATTATAATAAAAAAAACTGAATAGTACAATGAAAAAATTATAATTACATAATCAATATATATGTTATTTAATTAACTTTAATTTGTCTAATAAGAGAATGAAGAGTTATGTTAAATAAAGTATTGGATTTGAGTGACCTTATCTCTAGCTAGCATATATTCAAATTTGTGTTCAAAATACTGATCATTAACTGAAGCGGTGATTACCAACTCAGAAGATTTTTGCTAAGCTATGCATAGTGCCTTGGCTAGATTATGCAACAGAAAAATAAGTAGATTATTAGTTAGATTTTGTATAACATAATTTTCGTATAGAAGCTATGAATGTTAACTAGTACTTTATTTTTTTATTAAGTATAATTGATCTATTAGCAAAATGTTAGATGATGAGACAGATGAAGGTTACAATAAATTTATCAAAGAATATAGAGAGAAGTATAAATAGAGCAATGAAGGAATTTTTGAATTTACACCAAAGTGGTAAGATTGGAAGATCTTTTTTGCGAAATCAAAATCTATTAGAAGACAAAAGTAATCAGGCATTAGAAGGAGAAAACACTTAAACAATTTGTATATAGTTTGCCTGGTAGAAGAAATTTAACATCAATACTCTAAACATTTACATAATCTAATGCTTTTTATCTTTTACAAATTTTAAGCTTAATAGAATTACCATATAGTGCTAAGGAATTTTGATAAAAATATGACTAGATGGTATTGATATAAATGAGATTAAAATAGGTAATAATATAAATGAGATAGAGATATTCTGTTATGGAATATTACGTCAAGACAAAAATTTAGTAGCAGATTATTATTTAAAAGTAAAGAGGTGTAATAATATTGCCAATTTTAGCGAAAAGCGTCTTAAAAATAAATTCATTGATAGATTAACACTTGAAAACTAATGGTATATCGCAATATTTAGATATTATCATACTTTTAATGAATTGGTAAAAGCACTTATTCAGATAAAAAAAGAAATAATACCTATTTTTATTGTATTTAGTGAATATTATAGACAAGTCAGTTTTATCAACTAGAATTTAATACAGTTAATTTGACACAGTGGTCTTCCAATCCAAAGTGATCTGAATATTGTAACTAATTTAGCTAATCTAGTAGTAATTATTAGCATTACATTGCTCAGTATATTGTATTTCACTTTTTTTTGTTTGAAGATGAAAAAATACTAGCCAATTAAACAGAATACTAGTACTCTACTGATCTAACTAGTCTGAAGCAGTGAATAGATATCTATTTTTTATATTTGTATATTATATGCCATAATAAAATAATTCTCGTAAATTGTATAATTGAAGAAAATAATCCCATCTAGGCAATTCTTGACACAAGTGCTAATATAAATTGCATTACCCAAAAATATATTAGTGAATTAAGAATTATATATCACAATAAAGCAATAGTATTATGACTCTGAATATATTCTATTTCATATTAGGAAAGGTTAATCTGTGTATTACCTTTAATAGTGGCAAAAAGCATAAAGGCATGCCTAGTAAATTCATAGTTATTAGACCAGATTGACCTGATCATTTTTCTGATTTAACTTTAGGAATGCTGTAGTTACAAGAAAATAATGCAAATTTTGATATGCATAATTTATTACTAATCATAGACATTATCTGATAGTCAAATCTGAGCTATAACTGATTTTTCCAGTCTAACCTATAGTCTAGAATGATAATCATTATTCTGAAAGATTTTTTGCAGAGTCACAGATTGTGCAATAAAAAAATAAGTGAATTATCAGTCAGATCTTGTGTAATATTAATTTTTGTATATATATTCAAAAAAGAAAAACATATTAACCTTTGTTCTTTATTTTTTTTCTGTATAAACATGAGAAAAATATGAAAGGAGATCTAGTTTTAACATAGAACCTACCATAAAAGTAAATACTGATGGTAAAACATATGTTATAAAGGGTTGAGAACTTTGAAATTTTGAGATCGCTAAGCGTAAAGCTAACTATATATCTTTTTAGTAGATTTACATGTGAAAAGGTATGAAGAATATATTTACATATGCTTTTACTTTAGCATCTTTGATAATAGAGCTCTTAGCATCAGATAACAATACTAATCACGTCTCATACCTCCTTAACTTTTTTCCAGCAATATATAAAGTATATAGAGGTATGTGAAAGTTCAGCTAACTTTCTGCAAAAATATTTTTCAAAGAAAATAACGCAAAATAAGATATATACAGTATATGTTTTTTAATATAAGTGGGCTTAGCAATTTTCTCACTATGGATTCTTGCATTTAGGAGTCAAAATAGACAATAACAACATTACTATCAATTGTCTTATCATTCTTATAGACAAACTTATGAATATTTTATGCATTAAAGTAATACAATCAATTACAATTCGCAGAGGTGATCATTATAATGATCTCAAGACTGCAATTCAAAGTAGATTAGGGTACCATTTAATAAAATTCCTCTCAAAATTTGTATAATTTGAGCTGAAAGTGTTAATAAAATGGAAATGGACATATATGAGAATTTTATCAATATTTTTACTAAGAAACCTAAAGCAGAGCATTTCCATTTCACTATTTATCCCAAATAATTTTTTGTATTATATAATTATATATTCACAATTTTTATGCAATGTAGGCTAGCTTTTGACAAGGTTTTTTTATTTTTTAAATAAAGCATATATTATGTTCTTGTCATAAATCTTAAAAAATATTACGTGTAATAATATAATATAATCATCTGACAATTCTGTACTATATCTTAATTGTACTATATATTGGAAAAATACATTATGAATTAATACAAAAAAATTTATCATTTCTTTTTGAGTGTCAGAAACCAAAAAATACTTTTATATTTATAAACTAGTTTTACCTATATCTGCTGTCAGATGCATAAATTTTTTTGCAAGCATAAACTTACATATATAAAAACTATGTTTTCACAAGCCTCTATACCTTTTTCTTCAAGCTCAATAATGGAAAAAATTTCTTCTCAAACAATATTAGACATGGTTAAGGATTTTAATACAGAAGAACTTATCGATTATTTGAAAAGGAAAGACTTAAAACTTGATAAAGATAATATTATAATTTTTCGCAAAGAGAAAGTTGCTGGTTGTGATTTTCTTAAGTTAACGGAGGAAAAGCTTAAGCATTATAAAATGAAAGAAGGACCAACAACAAGACTTGTAGACTTCATCAAAGGTTTCAGCCAAAAGCTATAAAACTATTTCTCGCTTAAAACTCTCAACAACTTAAAAAAAATGTTATATAAAAATAAGATGAATAAAGAAGATATAATAAATATCAAGCAGTTCATTCCTGATAGGTAATTAATTAATTTTTGAGATTGACTAGATAACTATATTAACTTTATTTTTCTTTGTAGTCTTTGAGAAGATTAGTAATAATAATAAAGCATTCAAATACTATATGAAAAATATTATCTTAAAACTTTCAAATGTAGAGATCATGACTGATGCTAATGAAGCAACGTATAGTGAATTTATTTTAGCTATATTATATATGTTAATTGCTATTGCCAAAAAACTCACCTCTTAAGATATATTTATAGTTTTACAGAAAGATATTTCTGGTAAAGATGCTACTGGCTGAGTAGACTATGCAATCAAAAGTTTAAAAAATCTTCTTTACATCACTAAAAAAAACTACATAATATCAAAATCAAATATGTATAAGTAGATTTACTATCTACATATTTGCTTTTTTAACATATTGGAAGTATTAATAATTGATTATTTCTTAGAATTTAACATATCTTGAAAATGCATTTCAGATAAATAAAAAGAAATAGACTGCAGATCAAGCATTTAGAAATGACTATTTCAACTATATCTATAGTATTATGATCACAGGCATAGGAGTGGTATTTTATAATATGGGAGTGTTTCTAGGAAAATCAAGTTCTAAGAAATTTTTGACTAAAATTAAGAGCTTAATACATTTTAATCTAATAAGCATCAAAAACTAAAATGCAATAAAAATCTCAATTTTGCTAAAAAATTCTAGAATCTGATTTTTCTAGCAATCAACCCATATATACTTCTGATGATATATACTTTATGAGTAAAAATGAATACCAAATTAATCTCACAAAATCTGCTATCAAAGAAAATCCTGATTTACTTTAAAATAATGTGAAAAGGGTAATTGTTATCATTGTGAAGTTGTTAAAAGATCATATTAATATAGATAGTTTTCTAGTTAACAAGAGGACTAGAATCAAAAAATTATCAAAAAATAATATATATTGCGGGTTTAGTTCAGACTTTTGTATTTATTTTTTGCATATATTAATAAAAAATTTTTTCAACAAATTTTAACTAGGCAGCTTTGTCAAATATACATATTTTTTTATTTTGAATGCTTATATACATTGTATTAGTTATATATAGATCATATCATCTAAGCTTGAATTATTGAAATAACACTGAACTTGAGACTAAGAATATAGAGCTTAGGAAGGAGAATACTAAAATTCCCTATCTTAGAAATAAACTCTTAACATTTGATGCTAAAATAGCTGAATTTAAGTGCAAGAATGCTAAAGTTTTAAGAATAACTGAGGAAGAAAGAACGAGGTGTATTGCTGAAAATGTCAAATTTAAAGCTAGAAAAGCTAAGTTTCTAAAATCTATCAAAAAATATTACACAGATTTTGAGGGTTACATAGTAAAATTAAAACATCTTAGTTCATAAGGGCGCTGACATATATTAGCTAATATTTTAGGGGGTAGGGGTAGCAAGGGATCTTAGGTTATACATAAACTTATAAATCACGTGATAAATGTAATATCTTATTTTATTAATACTATATATCGAT